AGAAGAAGAAACTTTTAACAGAATAATGAAACCGTTAGGGTTTAAGCTAAGAATTATAAAAGAGAATCTTTAAGAAGACTCTAGTTTAAAGATTGAAATTTGACTCCTTTATTTGTAATTAAGAGTTAATAATGGGTCTTTTTCAACGGTAAAGAATGAAATGTTGTGTTTGTTATACCGTTAGGATTAAAACCACTCTCTGTCTCTCTGCGTTTACAATCAAGCCAATCTAGTTAAATCCGGTTTATAGAACCTCACTTAACCAATAAGTACAATTGTTTCAGATTGATACAACTTAACCAGTAAGTACAATTGTGCCTTAAGGGAATAAAGCACAGAGCAAATTCTATCAACTATTGAGGTACAAGAATTTGTTTGAAGAATCAACCAATGTCTCATTTTCCAGTAACTAACAATTGCAGACATGTTTGGCTTGGTTTAGTCCGGTTTGTTGGACCTCCATTGGAAAGTATTGAACTAGGAGTTTATTTATGCTCTGTTTGTCAACTGTAAAGAATACTTTGGTATGTTGAATTTGCTAAACAAAAACTATTCACAAGATAACTTTTCCTTTTTCCATACTTTTAATAGATCTTATGAATAAAAGTTCATCAACATTTCATTTTACAAATATCAAAATCAATCCGAGAATCGTTTTACTTAGGCTTCTGCTGCTTGTCTTGAGCTTGGTGAGAAGACGGTCCATTGTTAAACCCCTGAGACTGCGTTGGCTGTTGCGTTTGAGGCCGAACTCGCTGCATTTTTTGATGATTCAGGTCATACCTTGGTGCATTAGGAGGAGCTTGTTGGTGAGTCATACCAATGGGGAAGCCAAAATGTTGTTGTTGTTGGTTGATATAGTTCTGATCAAAAACAATGTTCCACTTGGTGACATCATTGGCACCATAACCATTGGAAGATGATATGGATCCTGCATGATATTCTGCTGCTGGTTGTACATCATTGGCCTAACTGGAGGTCTCACAAAGTGATCGTGCTGCATCATTGGAGCATGACTTGGAACAAAACCCATTTGGTTCTGCTGCTGATACATCATTGGAGTTGGTGCATTGAGATTAAGTTGATGCATACCAGAGAGTTGTTGTTCATTGCCATAGTTGTTGTTAGTCATCTGGTTAGCCATTGGACGCTGCTGTATTGTGTTCGGAGGACTCCATGGTCTTGCATCGGAAGAGAGTCTTGTAGAAGATGATGCTCTTGTTTGTTGGTTCCTCGTTTGACCACTAGCCATTGGATTCTGAGTAACATGTTCCTGCAATAACCAGCATTCACCAATTACTTGCAAGACAAGTAAACAAGGAAAGAAAAAATGGTTCGGGGATATATTATCATCTTCTTCACTTACCCTGTTTATCTCGACGGGTCCAGTACTTTCACCGTTTCTTGAAGAAGAAGAAGACTCTGTTTTCTTGCTTGGTTCGTTAATGGCGGAACAAGAAGGGGGCAAGCCAGAGACAACTGAAGCATAAGACGCTCTTTTCTTGCTTTCTACGTTAATGGTGGAACAAGAAGAAGCGGCCAATTCAGAGATAGTTGAGGAAGAAGACTCATTCGCTTGCTGTTCTTGATCGACGCCAACAACAACATCATCATTATCATGCTCAGGACTCGCTTGTTGTTCTTGAGCGACACCAACAACAAAATCATCATTAACATGCTCAGGATTTGCATTAATCGCCGGTTCTTGAGGATTCAGTTCATTGTTCTCTACGAGTTCAAAAGCCACATTGAACATATCCAAATCAAGAGCGCCTCTATCCTCCTGAAGGAGATCATGAAACCAAGCGGGAATTTCAAAA